TGTAGCCACAGAAAAGAGCCAGACTGCAGCAGCGCCTTCAGGACTCACAAAATTCATGGCAGGGGAGGAGATTCGTGAGCCATGGCTCACTTCTTCAGGTACCGAAAGGATTCTTCAGGTATCTGAAGAAGTGACCCAGGACTCATGGAAGTTCATCCCCTGCTACAAATTTGGTTAGTCTTTAAATTGCTCCTGGACTCTGGCTCTTTTAGCACTGATCGAGTTGGATTCTTCTGATGTTCTTATGTGCCCGCTCTCTGGAGGTCTCATCATGACCCACTTAAAGCGGGAACCCCTTTAGAATCCTCATGCATGAACCACCTTCTCGCTTTCTTTCTAGAAGGCCAGGGCTTGAGGGATGTGACAGAATGCAGCATTCCCAGATGTGATCCAGAAATTTTTTCATTTTGCCACAATTTCTCTCCATGCCCGACTTCATTTCTGATGATTACGGGCGAGCTTTAACGTGTGGGTCGGCCGTTGCAAGATGGGGGAACTGAGATGTGATGAATTTTGAAGGAGAGAAGCGGGGTGGGGAAGAGACGTGTGCCTAATCCATGGTGCTGTTCCAAAAGGGAAAATGCGCTTCCCTCCCTTGAAGATGACAGCAGGGAGACTCAGGTGTAACTTGGAACACGCTTATTCTCATGATAACGGCAAAAAAGGAATCTTGCAATGGCTGAAAGACTCTTTTGCATTGCTAGCTGGGGGGGGGGGGATGCGCAGATCTGCCCTCACAGAGGAGGGAGAGCTTGTACCTGAATAAACCTTGGCCTTAAAGGTGCCACTGGACTGTTTTGGATTGCTATCTGGGGGGGGGGCTCTGCAACCTACCTGGCTGCTTCTTGCTCCTCGTGGCCCGGGGCTGCTGGGACTGGAGCAGGGGGTGGGGCTTGTTGCATGTGCCCACCCGCCAACTCTTTACTGCCAGAGCTCCACTCCTGCAGGAAATGACCCCTGCTTACTAGGATCACCACCTGATAGCACCTGTCAATGTCGAAATTGTTATATGGTTTTAGGATTATTTAATTTACTTATTTTTGTTTTTGTTCCTTCTGTAAACCGCCCTGAGCCAGCCTTGGCTGGGAGGGCAAAGTATAAATTTAATAATAAATAAATAATAGAATGCTGCCCTCCCCCAACCCCTCCCTCCCTGGGCTCCACCCCCCAAATCTCCAGGTATTTCCCAACCCAGATCTGGCAACCACAGCAAAGTCCTTTTTCTTCGCCTGTGTTTTATTTACCTCCTTGATAGTGTGCTTTCCTCATTTGAGACCAGGGGTAATTTCCTGCGGGAGTGCACAGGAGTGGAGCTCCGGCAGTAAGGAGCCCAGGGGGCGGGCACATGCAACAAACCCCGCCCCCTGCTCCCAGCAGCCCTCAGTCGGGCCATGAGGAGCAAGAAGCAGCCAAGTAAGTTGCAGAGGCCCCACCCCCAGCCCACCTTCGGGTACAAGCTCTCCCTCCTCTGTGAGGGCAGATCTGTGCGTTCCCCCCCCAATAGCTAGCAATCCGAAACAGTCCAGTGGAGCCTGAGTGGTGGGTTCTGACACACTTCCGGTGATGTCAGGGGGTTTGGCATATGCAAATAAGTTATGCTAATGAGCTCCTGCACCTCTTTTTGTACGAAATGACCCCTGTTTGAGACGCAAGGTGGATTACAAACTGAGAGGACAGCGCCAGTAAAAACAGCGCCACGCATGCGGCCAAAAGAGTGCACCCCCAAAGCGGATCACCGACGTAGGAGACACAGCAAGGCAAGCGTCCTGCAGGCAACGCGGAGGCTGTGTGGCCTCCAAGGGTGCAGGCTTTATGCCTCCTCCTACAATAAAAACAACCACCAAGCAGGGAAGTCAGATTAAACTTCTCTGGAAACATTTTGGAGACGAATGCATCCGAAGCCTTCTTTCCTCTTCCAGTCCAAGGCTGCTGTTTGGCAGGGCAATATTCCTGGGCTGCGTCTTTTGGATTCCAGCAATTCCTTTCTTGTGTGTGTGTGTAGATGCTGGGCAATGGATGCTGAGTGACCATATATAGTAGCTTTTGTGCTCGGCACTGGGCTGAGAGGGTGAGAGGCAGGCCGTCCATTTTGCCAGACAGACCTTCCTGGAGGACTTTTGCCTTTGGGGCCCTCCTGTTGTTCCGATGCTGCTCTATTCTATGCTTTCCTCTTCTTCCTTTTTCTACTCGGTGACAAACTGCCCAACCTAGGTGAAAAGTACTGGGTTCGACGCATAAAGAACTCGGACCACGACATGCGTTCAGACGCGTCTATTGTACTTCACGAGAAGACACACAAAACGGCCCTGCAAGGCCAACTATATACACTCCCACCCGGCACACCTCTGTCCCCATTGGGGGGTTTGAATCTCCCTCCAAGGGTGCTATTGGTGGACTCATAAGAACATAAGAGACGCCAATGTTGGATCAGGCCAAAGGCCCATCCAGTCCAACACTCTGTATCACATAGTGGCCAGAAATACCAGTGCCATCAGGAGGTCCACCAGTGGGGCCAGGACTCCAGAAGCCCTCCCACTGTTGCCTCCCCCCCCCCAAGCACCAAGAAGACAGAGCATCCCTTGCCCCAGATATAAGAACATAAGAGACGCCAATGTTGGATCAGGCCAAAGGCCCATCCAGTCCAACACTCTGTATCACACAGTGGCCAGAAATACCAGTGCCATCAGGAGGTCCACCAGTGGGGCCAGGACATTAGAAGCCCTCCAACTGTTGACCCCCCCCAAGCACCTAGTCTACTCCTGGTAGACTAGGATCCTAGGTCCCCTTTGTTTTTGGGGACCAAGCTTCTGCTATAACCGCGGACCCCTGGTGGCGGTCCGTGTACATAATACTAGGTTAAAATTCCTGTCCGGGACTTTATCAGACTTACGTTTCTACTCAGACTCTGAGAAGAGTGTATTCTTGTTAGCTGATTCCAGTGCCAACATATCTTATAGGATGGCTTTATATGGCTTGGCTGCAAAGAAAATACGGGCCAACGCTGTTCGTATGGGAACTAATTAATATTGATCTGAGCGGACACCTTTTGTTTCAATTAATTGCCTATATTAGTTGTTGTGGATTTCCCGGGCTGTGTGGCCATGGTCTTGGCATTGTAGGACCTGACGTTTTGCCAGCAGCTGTGACTGGCATCCTCAGAGGTATAACACAGAAAGATGGAGTACTCTCTGTGTCAAGGTGAGAAGAAAAATGGAAGGCAGGTAATTTATATCTACTCGGGAAGGTGAGGTAGGGCTGAGTCGTTATCTTGTAGGAGTTCCCCAGGCTATGAACATGCTAGTGGAGGAGCTTTCCTGAGGAGGTTCTTTTGCATATGGATCGGCTGATGAAATTCGAATCTTATCTGTAGTGCTGTTGTCAGATGTAGAGCATTTTGTGTTTTTCAGGACTGGAAACCATGCCCTATTTATTTTTAAACTCTCTTCTTTCCTGTTGAAGTTGTGTTTATGTTTATGAATTTCAATGGCTTCCCTGTATAATCAGGTAATTGGATGTGTTGTCCGGCATTTCAGTATCTTGGAGGAATAAGATACTGTGTCCTGATTAAGTTAGGCCTCCAGAAAAATACAACAGATGCTACGATCGGCAAAAGACAGAAGAGACCCCCTCGCTTCTGCAGGAGTATACCGCATACCCTGTAGTTGTGGACAAGTTTACATCGGGACTACACAGCGTAGCAGCCAGACCAGAATAAAAGAACATGAAAGAGACTGCAGACTGGGCCAACCTGAAAAATCAGCAGTGGCTGAACGTAGCCGAACTCAAACCGGAAACAGTATCTTATTCCAAGACAGCCCTCCTTTGTTGGGTTGAAACATTAAATTTCTGAAGGGCGAGGGGGCGGGGGGGGGAAGCATCTGGACTCTCAGATAGGTTTGCCAATCTCCAGGTGGGATCTGGAGATCTCCTGACCTTATAACTGACCTCCAAACAATAGAGACCTGTCCTCCCTGGAGAAAATGGCTGCTGTGGAGTGGGGTTTGTAGGGCAGCGTACAGTGCTGAGGTTTGCCCCCTTCCCAAACCCTACCCATCATCCTAGGGTTTGCGAGCTCCAGGTTGGGAAATTTCTGGAGATTTGGGGTGTGTGGCGCCTGTGGAGGGTGGGGTTTGGGGAAGAGAAGGACCTCTTTTTCCAATTCTTGAAGTAATTCAAATGCCATCAACACCAACGGACCATGCATATTATATCTCGTTTCGTGTATATCTTTCTCAATGTGGGTAGTGTTGAAATACCTATATAATATTAATCCGTTGGGCAGACACTGTAGTCATATCTCCTAGTTGTTGTTGTTCAGTCGCACAGTCGAGTCCGACTCTTCGCGACCCCATGGACCAGATCACGCCAGGCCCTATCTCCTATTACTATCTCCTAGTAACACCCATGAAATCCATTAGTGTAGTGATTTGATGAGTGTTCCTAGGAGGCACAACTACCGAGTGTGCCCAATAGATTAATATTATATAGCTATTTCAACACTACCCACTTTGAGGAAGTTATACACAAAACGAGATGTCATGTGCATGGTCCGTTGGTGCTGATGGCGTTTGAATCACTTCGAGTAAACTGAATATTGGAAAAAGAATTTTCTAGTCTGTGAAGGCTTATTTTTTTGGCACAACACATCACGGTTGTTTGTTTCCTTTCTACCGCCTGGCGGTTGGCAACTCTGTGCTGCAGCTTTTGATATTTAACCATTTGGAGTCTGGCGACCCTAGCTGTGATTCTGGAGCTCTCCAAGCCCCACGTGGAGGTGGGCAACCCCACACCCTCCCAAATCTCCAGGAATTTCCCCACCTGGAGTTGGCAGCCTCCCATCGGGCTCCATGCCCTGGGTGGGATGGGCTGAAACGGCATGGGAGGGAGGGAGGGAAGGAGGGAGCCCGACTCTGCAGCTAAGGAGGGAAAGTGCTCCTGGGACTGCTGGTATCTGTTTGGCGCTTCCGGGACTTACTGACCCTTCTGTTATTTTTTCCCAGGGGTGAAGAAGAGAACCAAAGTGATAAAGAATAATGTCAACCCGGTGTGGAACGAGGTGAGTGTCTGGCGGGGTCTCGGCCTGGGTCTTCTTTGAGGCAGCGTTCACGAAGGTTGGCCCTTGCACCAGTCCCAGGCCCTGCAAAGCGTGAGCACTGATGTGCCTCTGAGAAGGTGCAGAAGGCCTTTATCCCACTCCGTGACAGAGACTTTGTGTCCTGCGTTCTCAGACTTGGCTTCCAGGTGGACCTAACCCTGGGCAGGGGGTGGTACTGAGAGAGGGTGATTTCCCACAAGCGCTGCTTCGCGCTCACTGTTCTCTACGTGTCAATTTCACACAAGCTGCTGCGCGGCCGCATTTTGCCCTGCACAGGGCTTTTTTTGTAGAAAAAGCCCAGCAGGAACTCATTAGCATAATAGGCCACACCCAACAGCAGAAACTCATTAGCATATTAGGCCACACCCCTGACAACACTGCTCATTAGCATACTAGGCCACTCCCCCTGTTACCAGAAGTGTGCTCATCCAGCCACACCCACCTGTTGCTTCTTATTCTGTTTACCTTGTTTGTTGTCAAAACCCAGGGCTTTTTTTGGAGCAGGAACTCCTTTGCATGTTAGGCCACACACCCCTAATGTAGCAAATCCTAATGAGTTTCTGCTGTTGGGTGTGGCCTATTATGCTAATGAGTTCATGCTAATGAGCTCCTGCTGAGCGTGGCCAACTCGGGAGCCAGCCAGAACTCCATTCCTGTGCGTTCCTGCCCAAAAATAGCCCTGGCCCCGCAGCTTCGTGTGATTTCCCCCGAATCTACTCAATCCTGTTTTTTGAGGATTGAGTAGACGCGGGGAAAATCGCACGAAGCTGCAGGGCAAAATGCGGCCGCGCAGCAGCTTGTGTGAAATTGACATGTACCATCGGGGCAAAAGGGAGGAGTGAGCGCGGAGCAGCGCTTGTGGGAAATCATCCAGAGAGAGAGAGAGAGAGAGCACCAAGCTATGCAGAGCAGAGGGGCTGCTCTCCCAGAGATGGATGTGGACAGTGGGTCAGGTGGGGGCTGGGGGTGGCCAATAGCAGTCTCCCAGACTTACAACTGATCTCCATCTGACAGAGCTCAGTTCCCCTGGAGAAAATGGCCGCTTTGGAGGGTAGACTGTACGGCATTATAGGCCACTGAGGTCCCCCCTTCAGAAACCCGGCCCTCCCCAGGTTCTGCTCCCTAATCTCCAGGAATGTCCTACTCTGGAGTTGGCAACCTTAGTGGCTAAGGGCCCTGAAGACGGAGCAGCTGAAGAGATAAACGACTCGTTCCTGGCCTTCAAGAATTGTCGAGAAAGGACAGTTTTGGCATATCTGATTTGGGGGTGGGGGGAATGGTTGATGCTGCTAGGGTTCCCAGTGCCGGAGCCCCTGGGGAAATCAGTTCCCAATAACAGTCATTTAGAAGAAGTAAGGTTTTTTGAGACATTGACAGGATCCAGATTCTTAATGATTCTTTGTTAGAACTGAGGTCAAGCGCGCAAAGCCAGCAATTATAGCATAATCAAACAAGACCTGGAGATTTGGGGGTGAAGCCTGGGGACGGGAGGGAATTTAGCAGGGGTGTGACCAGTGTTCCCTCTAAGCTGAGTTAAGGTAAGCCAGCTCACAGTTTTTTAGCCTCCAGCTGACAAATTTCTGTCTTAACTCAGGAAGGATGGCTCCAGAGGAAACTAGCTTCTGCAGCGGCCAAATCGCTCGCTCACGACTTTAATGCCAGTGTAGCTCACAAAGTAGAATTTTTGCTCACAAGACTCCACACCTTAGAGGGAGCATTGGGTGTGACATCTTCCAAAGCTTCCCTTTTATCCAGGGTAACTGAGCTCTGCCGTCTAGAAATCAGTTGTCATTCCGGGAGAGCTCCAGGTCTGGGGTGGTGGTGGTGGGTGGGTTTGGCAACCCTAGGTTTGGTGAGCCAGTTTGGTGTCGTGGTTAAGTGTGCGGACTCTAATCTGGGAGAACCAGGTTTGATTCCCCACTCCTCCATTTGCACCTGCTGGTGGGACCTTGGGTCAGTCACAAGCTCTGGCACAGCTGTCCTTGAAAAAGAGCAGTTTCTGTCAGAGTTCTCTCAGCCCCACCCACCTCACAGGGTGTCTGTTGTGAGGAGGGGAAGGGAAAGGAAAGGAGTTTGTAAGCCGCTCTGAGACTCCAAGTGAAGGGCGGGGTATAAATCCAATCTCTTCTTCATCTTCTAGGTGCAGCTCTCAAAGAAACAGAGGTGCTCCTGGAAGCTGGCATCCAGGGCTCATCCACAACTCCCAAAGTCTGTCCCTTTTGACAGGGGACCTTTGACAGCTGTGCCTTCAGCAGCTGCACAGCCTGTGAAGTTTTCCCCCTCAGTCTACCACGATGGAAGGGGAAAACTTCACTGGTTGATTTCTGCCTGTAGTGAAAGAGTGAAACGCACACCGCTTCTCTTCTTCTGAAGAGTTCTGCCAACATTACCTGTCGGGTGGCCAGCTCCGGGTTGAGAAATCCCTGGAGATTTGGGGGTCGAGCCCAGGGAGGGGCTTGGAAAGGGGGCCCTCTCAGGTGGGTTCTAATGCCGCAGGGTCCTTCCTCCAAAGCAGTCATTTCCTCCAAGGGAACCGCAGGGGGGGTCAACAGTGGGAGGGCTTCTGGAGTCCTGGTGTCAGCAAGCTGCCATTCTGTTTTCTGTGACCTCTGTGTACATATCCTTACCCTGTTGCACCCGGCTTGTTTATACTATCCTGCTTCTGTGCTGGAATGCCTAAGATAACTACTGGTGGATGTGTGGGGGAGAAGATGCTGTAATGCTTGCCTATTGCTATCTCATGAGAACTGCACCTGTGTTTTGTCTGATGTTCTGCCTGGTTCCCATGGACTGGGCGCGCAACCGTTTCATTAGCCCGCCAGCGGGAATATTATTCATTGGATATGTATCTGTTTGAATTTCCTTTATTATGCTCGCCCTAACTGTGTATCCCCAGTTCTAACAAAGAACGTGTTTGAGTATGTCTTCAACGCTTTGAAATAAATTTTGCTTTTCTTGAAAACGTGGATTTATTCTCGATGCTTGG